TATTTTTCCTTCACTTATGAAGCTCAGTTTGGCTGGATATGAAATTCTGGGTTGAAAGTTCTTTTCTTCAAGGATGTTGAATATTGGCCTACACTCTCTTCTGGCTTGTAGGGTTTCTGCCAAGAGCTTTGCTGTGAATCTGATGGGCTTCCCTTTGTGGGTAACCTGACCTTTCTCCCTGGCTGCCCTTAGCATTTTCTCCTTCATTTCGACCCTGGTGAATCTGATGATTATGTGCCTTGGGGTTGCTCTTCCTGAAGAATATCTTTGTGGTGTTCTCTGTATTTCCTGGACTTGAATATTGGCCTGACTTGCTAGGTTAGAGAAATTTTCCTGGATAATATCCTGAAGAGTATTTTCCAGCTTGGATTCATTCTCTTCGTCACATTCAGGTACACCTGTCAAACGTAGATTAGGTCTCTTCACATAGTCCCACATTTCTTGGAGACTTTGTTCATTCCTTTTTGTGCTTTTTTCTCTAATCTTGCCTTCTCATTTTATTTCATTGAGTTGATCTTCGACCTCTGATATCCTTTCTTCTGCTTGGTCAATTCAGCTGTTGAAACTTGTGCATGCTTTGTGAAGTTCTCATATTGTGTTTTTCAGCTCCATCAATTCACTCACATTCCTCTCTAAGTTGTCCATTCTTGTTATTTTGTCAAATCTTTTTTCAAGGTTCTTAGTTTCTTTGCATTGAGTTAGAACATGTTCTTTTAGCTCATGGAAGTTTCTCATTACCCACCTTCTGAAGTCTGATTCTGTCATTTCATCACACTCATTCTCCATCCAGCTTTGTTCCCTTGCTGGTGAGGAGTTGTGATCCCTTGTAGGAGGTGAGGTGTTCTGGTTTCAGGTGTTTTCCTCCTTTTTGCACTGGTTTCTTCCCCTCTTTGTGGATTTATCCACCTGTCGTCTGTGTAGTTGCTGATTTTCAGATTGGGTCTCTGGGTGGATGTCCAGATTGTTGATGATGAAGTTATTTCTGTTACTTAGTTTTCCTTCTAACAGTCTGGCCCCTCTGCTGTAGGACTGCTGAAGTCCACTCCAGGCCCTGCTTGCCTGGGGATCACCTGCAGCAGCTGCAGAACAGTAAGGGTTGCTACCAGTTTCTTCTTCTGCTATCTTTGTCCCAGAATGATGCCTGCCAAATGTCAGTCTGATCAGTCCTTTATGAGGTGACTATTTGGATATACAAGGGTCAGGGAGCTGCTTGAGGAGAAGACAGTCTCTTCTTTATAGGAGCTCAAGTGCTGAGCTGTGAACTTCATTGTTCATTCAGAGCTGCTAGGCAGGTACGTTTAGGTCTGCTGCAGCAGAATTCATAAACCCCCTTTTTTCCCCCCCAGGTGCTCTGTCCCGGGGCTTAGGGCTTTGTTTATGAGTATCTGTTGTGCTGCTGCCTTTTTTTCAGGGCTGCCCTGCCCAGCAAGGAGGCAGCCTAGTCACTGTCTGCCTGCAGAGGCTTTGCTGAGCTGCTGTGGGCTCCACGTTGCTGCCATGTGAACTTCCCTGCAGTCCTGTTTATATGGGTATGGTTAGAACTGCCTCGGCAATGGTGGCCCACCTCTGTAATGGCAGACTCTCTCTGTTATGGTGGGTTGCCTCAGCAATGGTGGGTAGCCTCAGCAACGGCAGGCTGCCTCAGCGATGGTGGACTACCTCCGTAGGAGTGGATTGCCTCAGTAATGGCAGATGCCCCTCCCCCACAGAGCTGGGCCATCCTGGGTTCAGCTGTGCTTGCAGTGAAACTCTCGACCCCGAGCATTTCCATTTGCTGTTTGAGACAATTTTCTCGATTTTATTTCTCTTGAAGTGTCTTAATTTTTCCTTGATGCTAATATACATATACACATATATGTATTGTATCTATAAAGAAAAATGAATAGAAAAATAAGGATGCTTATTTCTCCATTTTTGAAGAATAGTTCTATATATATAATTTTGGACTGACAACCTTTTTCTTCCTATACTTCAAGTGTGTCATCCCATTGCTTCCTATTCCTCATGATTTCTGATGAGAAGTCAGCTGTTAATCTTATCGAGGAGTCTTGTACATGATGGGTTGCATCTCTCTTGCTGCTTTCAAGACTCTCTCTGTTTCTGGCTTGCACCAGTTATATTATGAAGTGTACAAGCAGATCTCTTGAGTTTGTTCTACTTGAAGTTCTTTGAGCTTTTTAGATACATGATGATCTTTCATCGAATTTGGGAAATTTTCAACCATTTCTTTAAATCTTATGCCTCTTTATCCTCTTCCGGGACTCCTATGGTGGTTCACTTGGTGGTATTCTACAGCAGTCTGAAACTCTGTACATTTTTCTTTATTTTTTATTTCTGTTTTTCAGAATAAATCATTTCACCTTACCTATGTTCAGGTTTGCTGGTTCTTTTTTCTGCCTGCTCAGGTCTCTAGTGAAATTTTCATTTCACTTGTATTCTTCAACTCGAGAGTTTCTATTTGATTTTTTTTAATTTTCTCTTCATTGATTTTCTGTGTTTGGTGAAACATTCTCATTTAATATTTCAAAATAGTTTCCTTTAGTTCTCTGAATATATTTTAAATAGCTGATTTAAGGCCTTTGTCTGGTAAATCTGGTGTCTCTGCTTCCTCAAGGATAATCTGTTGACTGCTGTTTTTTGTTTTCTGTATGTGAGGACCATACTTTCTTGTGTCTTTGCATATCTTGTGATTTTTGTTGTTGAAAACTGGACATTTTAAATAACAAAGTCTAGCAACTCTGGAAGACAGATTTTCTTCCCCTCCTCTAGGGTTCATTGTTTTTAATGTTTGTTGCTGTTTGCTGGTTTGCTTAGGGATTTTTCTGAATGAATTCTGTAAAGTCTGTATTCCTTGCTGTGTATGGAAACTGAAGTTTCTGCTCAGGTAGCTTAGCGACTAGCTAATTATCAAACAGAGATTTCCTGAAATGCCTAGAGCTAATAAGTCACCGACTGTTTACCAAGGGACTCTGTATGCATGTTGGGTCATGCTTTCAACATTCAGAAAGGCGATAGATTGACAATTCTGTGTTGGCTTTCACTTCCTCCTTGCTGAGAGTCCACGTTTTTTAGTTTCAAGACTTTTATTTGTTTCTTTTTTTTTCTTTTTTCTTTTCTTTTCTTTTTTTTTTTTTTTTTGAGACAGTCTCACTCTTTTGCCTAGGCTGGAGTGCAGTGGCATGATCTCAGCTCTCTGCAACCTTCGCATCGCATCCTGGATTCAAGTGCCTTGGCTTTCTGAGTAGCTGGGATTACAGACATGCACCACCATGCCCAGCTAATTTTTATATTTTTAGTAGAGACAGGGTTTCACCATGTTGGCCAAGCTGGTCTCAAATTCCTGGCCTCATGTGATCCATCCACCTTAGCCTCCTAAAGAGCTGGGATGAGAGGTATGAGCTGCGATGCCCAGCCAAGATTTTTAATTTGTTTGATGTCTGTTTTTTCATAATATTTCAGACTTAAGTCAACATTATTCCTTTTCTATTTTTTTCAGACAGTGTCTCTGTCACTCAGGCTGGTATGCCGTGTCATAAGCACAGCTCACTGGAGCCTTAATCTTTTTGAACTACAGGTGTGTGCCACCATACTTGGTGAGTTTTTAAATATTTTTTAAAAATAGTAAAGTAGCGACAGGGTCTTCCTATGTTGCCCAGGCTTGTCTCAAACTCCTGACCTCAAGCAATCCTCCTGCCTTAGCCTTCCAAAGCACTAGGATTACAGGGGCCAGACGGTATACCTGGCCTATTCCTTCACTTAGAGCAACCTGAAAGATTTGCTTTGAAATTTTTGTCACACTGTCCCATTAAATTAATTTCTTTTGAGCTGGATTGTTGTTTTCCCTCTCCCTCCCACTCCTCTCCCTACCACTGCACCTCCATGTACACACACACCATCCCTTCCACCCCTCCCACAACAAACACCATCTCTGACTAGTTTTGCTACTGTTTTCATTCTAACCCTTCAGATCTCTAGTTTAGAACTAGGTCTTACAGTATTATATGGCATTTTGGAGCTCCTATTCTTCAATGAAATTTATGAAACTAGAAATATTGCAGATCTTGGCATAAGCCAGAGGATCTCTTGACTCAGTTTCTGGTCATGCGACTGTTCTTTTTTTCCTCTCCTTATTACTACAAATATGTAGCTACAGAGGTTTTTTTGCTCTTAAGTATTCTTTCATGAGCTCCAGGCTCAACCCTGGCTTCTAGCAGTGAAGTTGGCTTTGTCTCTCCCTCTCCTGCTCCCAGTGAAACATTTTTAGTTTCAGTTACCCTACAAAAGTCAAACTCCCACCTTTGTACTGCCTTCTTCCAGATCTAGAGCTTAGTGATCCTGTGGCTTCTACCTCCCTCTCACCATCTTGTTTTCTTATTCTGCATGTCTTCCTCAGATGTTTATTTTGTGTTTAAGCCCAGTGAAGTCATTTTGGTCAGAGGACCAAATAATTTATATAGTATTTATAGTTCCTCCAGATTTCAAATGGAGAAAGTGCTCAGAGTATGAATTCGCCGAACTATTTTAAATAGAAACTTAATGTAAACTTTTGAAGAGTAAAATATTTATCAAAACTCTCATAAAGCTAAAACATTTTTAATTTTAAACTTGCATACCATAAAAATTATCCTAAACTTTTTGTCCTAAAATAACAAAAGAATCTTACATGGACACATTTGTGTGATGGTAAATTGAAAATAAATAAATGAAAGAATTAAATAAATAAAAATAAAAAAGTCCAGGCGTGGTGGCTCATGCCTGTAATCCAAGCACTTTGGATCACCTGAGGTCAGGAGTTCAAGACCAACCTGACCAACATGGTGAAACCCCGTCTTTTTATTTAAAAAAAAAAAGAAAGAATTATATTATCTGAAAGCTTATTCATAGAGGTGTTGAATAGAGGCTTGGGAGTTGCTGTGTCACCTGTTGCTGGGCAAATCACATCTTAAACAGGGGCACTTTTAGAATCTCATGTATTTCCTCTTTCTAATTTCTCTTTGCAGACATCTGTTTTCCTCTATGATTGTAGAAAAGTTCACCCAGGAATATCTGTGGCTTTCAGTTGCAACTCGGCATCCCTGGAACCTGTTTACAAGAGTCCAGCGGCTGTCTTGCTGCCTGACACTGCTCCTCTGCAACATGGTCATCAGCATTATGTTCTGGAAGATAAATGGCACCACTGGCAAGAGAGATGAGCAAAGTATGGATGAGCCCTGATGTGGGTAGTAAGCAAAAGCAATCCTTTTTTTTTTTTTTTTTTGAGACAGGGTCTCGCTCTTTTACCCAGGCTGGTCTAGAGCTCCTGGCTTCAAGTGATCCTCCTGCTTCAGCCTCCTGAAATGCTGGAATTACAAGCATGAGTCACCATGCCCAGCCTACTATGCAATACTTTTACTACACTCCACTCTCGTTACTTTCAGGATTATTAACAGAATCATGTTGTGTGATATGGTTTGGCTCTGTGTCCCCACCCAAATCTCACATCCAACTGTAATCCCCCCCAGTGTTGGGGGAGGGACTTGCTGGGAGGTGACTGGATCTTGGGGGCAGTTTCTCCCATTCTTTTCTCATGATAGTGAGTGAGTTCTCATAATACCTGATGGTTTAATTGCTTGAACCCAGGAGGCGGAGGTTGCAGTGAGCCAATATTGTACCACTGCACTCCAGCCTCTGTCAAAGGGTGGAGAAAAGTGTGTGGCAGTTCCCCTGTCACTCTTCCTCCTGCACCATGTAAGATGCCTTGCTTTGTACAGCATGTGAGGTGTACTGCCATGTAAGGTGCCTTGCTTCCTCCTCACCTTCCACCATGATAGTAAGTTTCCTGAGGCTCCCCCAGCCATGCAGAACTGTAAGACAATTAAACGTCTTTTCTTTATAAATTACCCAGTCTCAGGTAATTCTTTATAGCAGTGCGAAAACAGACAAATGAAGCAGTATTAGGAATACAACATGATCTTTACTGCCATGATAGTTTTATTTCTAGATAAACATAGTTAGCTTCCTCAATAAATAGTTAAATGTAGGAGAGGAATGACTTTGAGATTATTTTAATAGTTGAAGATAAAAGTTGATGTCATGCTTTTCTTTCAGTGGGTACATTTGCTGTAGCCTGGTCTGAACTGCTCATCAGCATCCACACTGCTGTCATCCTCTTCCCAATCAATCTTGTCATTGGGCGGCTCTTCCCGCTGATTCAGCCACAGGAGACTGTGCCCCTCTTTCCTCCCGTCCAGGTCTCCTGCCTCTTAGATGCTTCTGTTGAGCCTCTCTCTGTCACAATGGTAGTTGAGGTAAGTTTAGAATCAAATTTTATTTTATTTTTACTGCTTGCTTGTTTGCTTGTTTTGAGATCGGGTCTGGCTCCGTTGCGTGGGCTTGAGTGCAGTGGTGCAATCTCAGCTCACTGCAGCCTCAGACTCCCAGGCTCAAGCAATCCTCCCAGCTCAGCCTCTCATGTAGTAGACTACAGGCATGTGACACTACATCGGGGTAAATTTTGTATTTTTTCGTAGAGACAGGGTTTCACCATGTTGTCCAGGCTGATCTCAAACTCTTGGGCTCAAGCCATCCTCCCACTTAGGCCTCCTAAAGTGCCAGGATTACAAGTGTGAGCCACCTTGCCCAGCTAGTATCAAATTTCACAGATGAATTACATGCTCTCCTTCCCCACACAGTGAAAGAGAGCAGGGGGAAGAATCTCATGGAAGGCTGTCAGGGTCCTCTTACCTGCAACACATTTTTCCCAGTTCTTGTCCCCTGAGCTGTGATTAACCACATCTTTAGCTTTTACTCTTGGTTATGAAGTATTCTGAAGACTAAGTGGGAGTGCATAGGTACCACTCGGGCCTTGTTTAGTCTTTGATGTTTGATCAAATTGTCTCTTTTTTCATTCTGTATTCTCTCATAAAACTGGTATTGCAGCTACTGTGAGCTATGAGGTGACTGCTTTCTGGAAAATTAGAGAGAACATGAAAAATTGAGGTTCTTTATGCAAAGCAGATCCCCCTTGACCAAAAGAAACGGCCTTACCACCCGTAATTGCTACAAATCCAGGGTTAATGAAAAACAGGCTGATTTTTCTCATCTTGGTTCTATGTTCAGGAATTAAGGGAAACTGTGCGATTCCTGCTCAGGAGACATACATACCTACTCTCAGAGTGTGAACAACCATCATGGAATTCTTGCAACATTACTAAGCTGGTGGAACTTTTATCCAGCCTCCTGTCTTCTCACTTGGAGGGTCAAGGCGGTCATCAGCAGGCAGAGCGCCACCGGGCATGTGGTAAACTTCAGTGGATCTGAGTAACGAATGTTCCATCTGCCTCCCTCTCCCTTACTCATTCATAACCGACAGGCCTGATACACCCTTCTGCTTGTTTTAATTGCCTTAAGCTTCTAATATAGAGCCGATAGCTTCGTTCTCCTTGATGGTGTCTAGACAATCTATCTGGTGATACAAAGTACAGGATTAAAACACACACACACACACACAGGCCAGGTGTGGTGGCTCACGCCTGTAATCCAAGCACTTTGAGAGGCTGAAGCGGGTGGATCACCTGAGGTCAGGAGTTCAAAACCAGCATGGCCAATATGACAAAGTCCTGTCTCTACTAAAAATACCAAAGTTACTTGGGCGTGGTGGCACATGCCTGTAATCCCAGCTACTATGGAAGCTAAGGCAGGAGACACCTTGAACGTGGGAAGCGGAGATTGCAGTGAGCTAAGATTGCACCATTACACTCAGTCTGGGTGACAGAGCAAGACTCCATCTCAGAAAAAGAAAAAAAAACAGGAAAAATGTTCTCTGGGCCAGACGCAGTGGCTCATGCCTGTAGTCCCAGCACTTTGGGAGGTCAAGGCAGGTGGATCACGAGGTCAGGAGATCAAGACTATCCTGGCCAATATGGTGAGACCCGTTTCTACTAAAAATACAAAAAGTAGCTGGGTATGGTGGAACACTCCTGTAATCCCAGCTACCTGGGAGGCTGAGGCAGGAGAACCGCTTGAACCTGGGAGGCGGAGATTGCAGTGAGCCGAGATCATGCCACTGCACTCCAGCCTGGGCGACAGAATAAGACTCCATCTCAAATAGAAAAAGAAAAGAAAAAATACTCTCTGTATTAGACCCACATATGCCATCTGCTTTTTTGAAGGCTGTTGAAACTTGTCATCCTTTTGCTTTCATGAGATGGTGAGATGATGCAAACTATAGATCCTCAAAACCAGATTGAGTCCCTGGGCACTGGTGTAGGTCACATGTACTGCCATTCTGGCGAAGAAGTCAGTAAGGTTTTAAAAGTCTTCAGATCAAGGCTTAGAATTTTACAGTTGTCAAAATTCACCAGTATCCTCAGAGAAGATGGTAATACTGCAAGTGTTGGGTACAGTCCAATCTCTGTCAGTAGTGGGAAAATTTAGCCTCATCATCAATTAATGAATTGCTCATCTCTACCACTAATTGCTACTTACTGAAATCCGCTTGTGAAAGTGTCAACTTGAAATGTATTTTCAGTTGTTCCTGAAAACCACCATCATTTCTGCTGTTACCTGTGTCGAGTTCTACAGAGGCTAAAATCTCACTTGGGCACTCTGGGTCTCACCCAGGGTCACCAGACTTGTGACCTCCTAGCTGCAGCCAGCCATCTTCAAAAACTCCAGGAACTCTTGGAAACACACATGCTTCCTACGGAGCAAGAGTCGTTCAGGTAATGCACCACACCAAGCCTTCTTTATCCCTTGTGATCTGCCTCCTCTCTCTCAGCTGATGGGTACGAGATTATTCCTTCAACTTTTGTTCTTAAGGGAAGTCACCAGTTTCGCCATCCTGAGCTCAGAAAAAGGAAAAAGGCCCCTCTCTAACGGCCTGTCCAAATGGTTGAGTTTGTTCTGCTGGTTCCTCCTGGGTCTCACTAGCCTGGCTTCAGCCTTCTTTACAGCACTTTATAGCTTGGAATTGAACAAAGACCAAGCCACCAGCTGGATGATTTCAGTTATTTTATCAGTGCTTCAAAATGTCCTCATCAGCCAGCCAGTAAAGGTACGTAAGGAATGGGAAGAACCACTGGAGTTGCACAGGTCTGGGAAACTGAGGTCCCTTGGTGTCAATCCAAGGTGTCTAGTTTTGACAATGTTAACATAAACATCAAAAAACAAATAGGCAAACCAGGCTGGGCACAGTGGCTCACACATGTAATCCCAGCACTTTGGGAGGCCAAGACGGGCAGATTGCTTGAGTCCACGTATTCAAGACCAGCCTGGGCAACATGATGAAACTCCATCTCTACAAAAACTTAGTAGCCAGGCATGGTTGTGTGCTCCTGTAGTTCCAGCTACTTGGGAGGCTGTGGTGGGATTGGAGGCTTCAGTGAGCTGTGATTGCACCACTGTACTCCAGCTTGGGTGACAGAACAAGATCTTGTCTCAAAAAAAAAAAAAAGGCAAACTGACATTTGTTAGGGATATGTGTAATTCATCACAGAAAAAACTAAGAAGTACGGTAGAAAAGGATTCGAGTGAAGAGGACAGTAACCAGTAGCAAATCAACAACCTAAACCACTTTGGAAAAAACAACCAACAAAAAACTTAAAAGTTTTATATTTAAGGAGAATGTCAAACCCACACAAAAGTGTAGAGATTAGTATACCGCATCCTGAAGTCCTACCACCCAGCTTCAATAACAACCAACTCATGGCCAATCTTGTTTTATCTGTTATGTTGAGGGGAAAATATCAGACTTCCTATCATTTTTTTCCATTTCACGTATTTTAGTCTTTATATTTCTAAAAGTTATGGAGTCTGCCTTTTAAAACAAATATAAATACAAAGAGACAGCTTGTGGGAATTTTGGGGGTGATGAAACTACTAGGTATCTTTTTTTTTTTTTTTTTTTAAGATAGAGCCTCATTCTGTTGCCCAGGCTGGAGTGCAATGGCGTGATCTCCGCTCACTGCAACCTCTGCCTCCCAGGTTCAAGCCATTCTCCTGCCTCAGACTCCCAAGTAGCTGGAATGACAGGTACCCACCACTATGCCCAGCTAATTTTTTGTATTTTTGGTAGAGACAGGGTTTCACTATGTTGATCAAGCTGGTCTCAAACTCCTGACCTCAGGTGATCCATCTGCCTCGGCCTCCCAAAGTGCTGGGATTATAGGCATGAGCCACTGCACCCAGCCAACTACTTGGTATCTTGACTGTAGTGGTAGATATATAACTCCAAGTATTTGTCAACTCTCATGGCTTGACAAAAAGCAATTTTTTTTTTGTTATATATAAGTTAAGATAGAAATCTTTTAAAGCAAAAAACCTTGTGATTGCAGTGGCCAAAACACATGTAAGAAGTTTAGCTTCAACTGATCCAATGAAATGATAATACCATGTTTTCGTTTTAATAATGGCAACGAAAAATAATAGTACACAGCAATGCCAAGGAAATGAACGCCAATGCTGGTTAAGGAAAATCTGGCAATATAAAGTGAAAATCTGCAAATCGTGCATCCTTTTGCTAGAAAGGTTTCATATCTAAGGATCCATCTCAAGAAAATCCATAGTGGTTTATAACAATAAAATAAATTGCAGTAACTTACGTGCCCGACAATAGGGCATTGGTTAATATATTATGAGACGGCCAGGCGTAGTGGCTCAAGCCTGTAATCCCAGCCCTTTGGGAGGCCAAGGCGGGTGGATCACGAGGTCAAGAGATCGAGACCATCCTGGTCAACATGGTGAAACCCCATCTCTACTAAAAATATACAAAAAATTAGCTGGGCATGGTGGCCCGCGCCTGTAATCCCAGCTACTCGGGAGGCTGAGGCAGGAGAATTGCCTGAACCCAGGAGGCAGGTTGCAGTGAGCCGAGATCGCGCCATTGCACTCCAGCCTGGGTAATAGGAGCGAAACTCCATCTCAAAAAAAAAATTTATATATATATATATATTTTTTTTTTTTTTGATGAGGTCTTACTCGATTCTAAGATTCCTTAACTACTTTTGCTAACCTGAGATTTAATCCTGGGACTTCTATAAGACTGACTCTTTGCTAGGCACAGTGGCTCATGTCTGTAATCCCAGCACTTTGGGAGGCCAAGGCAGGCAGATCACTTGAGGTTGGGAGTTCAAGACCACCCTGGTCAACATGGTGAAACCCGGTGTCTATTAAAAATATAAAAATTAGTTGGGCATGGTATGCACCTACAGTCCCAGTTACTTGGGGGACTGAGGCAAGAGAATCACTTGAACCCAGGAGGCAGAGGTTGCAGTGAGCTGAGATTGTGCCACTGCATTCAAGCCTGGGTGACAGAGTAAAAAAAAAAAAGTCTGGATCTTCATCAGAGGTCTTCCAAAGACACTGAGAGATATTACTGAATAGACATCACAAATTATAAGATAGTGTAAACTTCTCTAGCCAACCAGATTAAGAACTATAAGCAAAAAAGAGGAATATTAGCAGTATTTAGAGTCTGCTGGCCCTTCTCCAGGTCCCCATCATTGTACAAAAATGACTGAAATTAGTTTTCCATTGAAATAAACAGCCAAAGCCAGGCACAGTGGTTCATGCCTGTAATCCCAGCACTTTGGGAGGCCAAGGTGTGAAGATTACAAGGTCAGGAGTTCAAGACCAGCCTGGCCAAAATGGTGAAACCCTGTCTCTCCTAAAAATGCAAAAATTAGCCAGGCATGGTGGTGTGCACCTGTAATCCCGCTACTCGGGAGGCTGAGGCAGAGAATTGCTTGAACCCAGGAGGCGGAAGTTAGAGTGAGCCAAAATCGCGCCACTGCCTTCCAGCCTGGGCAATAGAGCAAGGCTGCATCTCAAAAATAAAAATAAATAAATAAATGGCCAAATAACTGAAGTTTTTCATTAATGCCCACCTCTTCCTTTACATAAGGTATCATCTTCCTTGGTCTGTAATTTCCGCTCATGATGTTTTCCTGTGGTTCTCCTGCCCAGGTGGTCGTCTTCACATTCTTTCACTCTGTGATGATGAGCAGGGTGCCACGGCTTCACAAGGAGGAGGAACAACAAACCAGGAGGATCTTGGCACTCTTGGGTAACTCAAGTAGTTCTAACAACTACCTAATTTTACAAAAAGCAAATTAGATCAGATCAGTGGTACTCTGGCCACCTTGCTGACTCAGATAAATTAATACATTCAAAGGACTCGTCTCTAACCAACTGGTTATTTCTCCTCTTCTGCCCAAGACTAATGTGCTTCCAGATGAGGATCCTCACTTCAGTCATCACATTCTCCCTCCTAGTGCTTCATCTCTCCCCTGCAGTTTATTTTGTTTCTTTTAATTTTTTTGAGATGAAGTTTCACTCTTGTCGCTCAGGCTGGAGTACAATGGTGCAATCTCAGCTCACTGCAACCTCCACCTCCTGGGTTCAAGTGACTCTCCTGCCTCAGCCTCCCAAGTAGCTGGGATTACAGGCCTCTGCCACCACGCCCAGCTATTTTTTTTGTATTATTAGTAGAGATGAGGTTTCCCCATGTTGGCTAGACTGCTCTTGAACTCCTGACCTCAGGTGATCTACGCTCCTTGGCCTCCCAAAGTGCTGGGATTACCAGTGTGAGCCACTGCACCCAGCCTCCCCTGCATTTTAGATCTCCTTTTCATCTCTGCCTCTCTCTCTTCTCCCTTCTCTCCCTCCCATGAGCCCGAGGTGCCATTTTCCACGGCACCCTATCTGGAGCTTCATGCCTCCAAGTGTGTCAAACTCAACTGTTTGCCTGCCCCACAAATCCACTTCTTTACTATATTTTCTCATTCTAATCAAGAGCATTAGCATTCTCTAAAAAAGTCAGAATACATAATCGTAAATTCCTCTCATAGTTTCCACATTTAGTGACCAAACCCGAGAAAGCCTACCCTCTAAATAACTGGCTAGGGCTAACTTATCACCTGGGTGAGCCTCAGAAACACAATCTTGGGCAAAAAGAGGAGCTTGGAGAAAAATCGGCATAATATTTTAATTACGTAAAAACGATGCATATCTTGATTGGAGGATACATATGTATCTCTTCTATGCATTTATAGATAAAATATAAAGAAATATATGAAAATGATAAACTCCAAAATTCCGGAAAGAACTGCCTCTAAGGGAAAGGGGAGAATGCCATCACAGAGGGGTACGTGACAGACTTGATGTTGCCAGTCACTTCTTTTTTTTTTTCTTTTTTTTTTTTTTGAGATGGACTCTCACTCTGGTTGCCCAGGCTGGAGTGCAGTGGTGCAATCTTGGCTCACTGCAACCTCTACCTCCGGGATTGCAGTGATTTTCCTGCCTCAGCCTCCCAAGTAGCTGGGATTACATACGCCACCATACCTGGCTAATTTTTGTATTTTTAGTAGAGATAGGGTTTCACCATCTTGGCCAGGCTGGTCTTGACCTCCTGACCTCAGGCAATCCAACTGCCTTGGCCTCCCAAAGTGCTGAGATTACAGGCATTAGCAATGTCACCTGGCCTCCTAACAGTCACTTATTTTTTAAGCAGTGATCTACTGCTTAGCAGTAGGCACTCGATTCCTTGTGAGATGAGAAAACTTAATCTGACTTGAAACTGCCTTCTGTCCATAACCAGTCTGGCCAACATGGTGAAACTCTGTCTCTACAAAAAATACAAAATTAGCCAGGTATGGTGGTGCACGCCTATAATCCCAGCCTCTTGGGAGGCTGAGGCAGGAGAATCCCTTGAACCTGGGAGGCAGAGGTTGCAGTGAACTGAGATCACACCATTGCACTCCAGTCTGGGCAACAAGAGTAAAACTCTGTCTCAAAAAATAACAGTATACTGACTTCCTTGCATTTACTTTGTTTCTCCATGCATTCTGAACTGTTGGTCTCTCTGCCTAAAAGAGGCTTTTTTTTCCCCTTATCCTCACCCTTGTTCATCTGGAGAGCTCTGATTCATCCTTCAAAATAAATGTCAAATGTCACTTCCTCTGTGGAGCCTTCTCTGACTTTCTTGGAGAGATTTATTTGCTCACTATTCACTGATCCCACGGTACTTGGCACATACATGCTGGCAAGTTTCATGCCTTCCTCTTTTTTTTTAAATTTTATTTTTATTTATTTTTGAGATGGAGTCTTGCTCTGTCACCCAGGCTGGGGTACAGTGGCATGATCTCGGCTTACTGCAACCTCTGCCTCCCAGGTTTAAGCAATTCTCCTGCCTCAGCCTCCAGAGCAGCTGGGATTACAGGTGCACACCATGACGCCCAGCTAATTTTTTATATTTTTAGTAGAGACGGTTTCGCCATGTTGGACAGGCTGGTCTCAACCTCCCGAGCTCAGGTGATCGGACCGCCTTGGCCTCCCGAAGTGCTGGGATTACAGGCATGAGCCACCGCTCCTGGCCTCATGTCCTCCTCTAATTCACTGGCTTTCTCTCACTCTTAATCTGTCTCTAGATTCTTCTACTCACGGTGTTGTCTGCAGACCAGCAGCATTGTCCTCTCCTGGAATTCTCAGAAATGCAGAATCATCTTAGCAGTTACCCATGGGGTGGAAAAATAAAAAATAAAAACATAGAAATGCAGACTCTTAGGCCCCACCCCAGAATCTTTATTTTAACAATATTCCCAGATGATTCCTATGCACATCAAATGTGACAAATGCCACTATAGACTAGTGCTATCAAAGTGTGGCTCACAGACTAGAACTGTCTGTTTCTAGTCTAAGATAAGTACAGGAATCAATAAGCATTTAAAGACTTGAGCAATTTGGCAGCCTGACTTTATACCTATTAAATCTAATTTTCAAAAACAGGCTTTGTCTTTTACCTGCTTCTGCTTTATTTTTTTTCTTTTTTTATATATGTTTTAATTTTTTTTTAAGAGACAGGGTCTCAGGTGGATTGCCTGAGGTCAGGGGTTCGAGATCAGCTTGGGCAACATGGCAAAACCCTCCCAAAGTGCTGGAATTACAGGCATGAGCTGCTGTCCTCAGCCTAGTAACTAATTTTTATTGTATTGCATAGAAGTATCAGTCTCCAATTGATTGGAATTTTTTAAAAAACAGGTCCTTTATAATAGAGAGTTTAAGAAGCGCTACATAGGTAGTTTTACTCCTTGTTTCTTCAGCATTTAAAAGGAGGTGCTCACATAGGCGCTCAATGAATGGTGAGTGACCGCTTAGTGAAATATAACATTTCTTTGGTCTGCATTTGAATTTTTGACAGCAAAATGTTATTCATCAGTACCAGGCTCAAGAGATAAGAACAACCCCGTCTATGTAGCCCCAACTATGAATAGTCCAACTAAGCGCCCAGAAAGAACCTTGGAAAAGAAGAAACTCTTCAAGCTGACTGGAGATATTTTGGGTATGGAGAGGAAATGGCAACATATTGGTAATACAACACTTTTTTCAGAAGGGAAAGGAAGAGAGAGAATAAAATGGAAAATAAAGAAGGGTTCAAAAGCTATCTTTTAAGATCTTCAGCTTGTGAGATTTGGGATTCCAGTAAAGCAGGTGGGATGGTAACTGGACAGACGCCTGACCTTGGAGTCTAGAGGTTTCATTGTGTTCTTGAGTATGTCACTTTTTCCACCTGCAAAATGTAATAACACTTGATCTATGGAGGGAAAATGAAAATGCTTTGGCAAAAGGCTATTCTGGAGATGCTAGTTGACTGGTTTCAATACATCTAGTTCATTACTGGATTCTCGAACCCAAAGAAGACAAATTCTGTTTTTATCATGACTTCGCTTCTAGTGAATGCAATCAGATGACTGAGATGGAGTGCACGCTTAGTCCTTAGAGCTAACCACATTTCTTGTGTGGGATTTTATGTATATATATATTTTTTTAATGGAGTCTCTGTTGCCCAGGCTGGAGTGCAGTGGTGCAGTCTCGGCTTACTGCAACCTCTGCTTCCCAGGTTCCAGCGATTCTTCTGCCTCAGCCTCCCAGGTAGCTGGGGTTACAGGCATGCACAACCACACCTAGCTAATTTTTATATTTTTAGTAGAGAGGAGGTTTTACCATATTGGCCAAGTTTGTCTCGAACGCCTGACCTCAGGTGATCTGCCTGTCTCGGCCTCCCAAAGTGCGAGCGTTACAAGTGTGAGCCACTGCGCCCAGCCTGTGTATCTTATTTTAAGTAAAATGTATGATTAATGGCAGAATACTTCTGGGAAGGAAATGTGTATATGTGTATTTATAATTATTTGATTGAACCATATGAAATTGCCAATTTTTTACTGGTTTTGACATACATATGTCTATAGACTTAGGAAAAATGAAGAAAAAGGCATAGAGAATTTCTAAGTTAACCAGTCAATTATGACATTTTTTTCCTCTTCTAAACTAGTACAAATCTTCTTCCTTACCCTGTTGATGACTACAATCTACTCTGCAAAGAACTCCAATAGATTTTACCTCCACCGAGCTATCCAGAGGACCTTTGCTCACCGTTTCTCAGAAATCAAGCTTCTTCAGGATTTCTATCCCTGGGCCAATCACATCCTCCTTCCTAACCTGTATGGGGATTACAGAGGTAAGAATGCAGTCCTGGAGCTCAGTCATTGCAAATGTGGGATACAATTAATTTTCCAAATACCCGCTACCAAGACCCATGAGAAAGTGAGGAAGGTCAGCTGGCTTTTATTGATACGGCCGTACCTGTGGGTGTCCCAAGGGTCTGTTCCCTGAACCTCAGCTAAGCAGGTTCAGTTATATCTGTTCACCCAGGCCTATGGGGCTGATTTCCACTGATGAGTTTCACAAAAAGCTGACAAGAATGAGAATGGTTTCAGTGACATCATGAGAAGGATCTGGAGTGACCCCTGGGACTCAGCCACATGTAGCAAAGAAGGCTGTTGGATAAGTGCAAAACCGGGAATGTGGTTTCGCTGGGAAGATCTCCACATGAGATGATATTCTGGCCTGAGCCATCTTTCCCAGTCTATGAGTTTGTCTGTGTAACTTTACCTTTGCTTGGATGGGTACCCAGTTCAGCCCCCACAAACATGCATGGAACTCCTGTAATGAGCTGCGAACTGTCCTAGGAGCTAATGATAAAAAGATGGACCTGATGCTTTGCTGTGGACAGTGAAGAAGAAATGCTGAAGAATGACTTTCTTAAGGAATGCATCTTTTCTTTTCTGTTTTTTGTTTTTGAGATAGTCTCAGTCTGTCATACAGGTTGGAGTGCAGTGGCGTGATCATGGCTCACTGCAACTCCTGCCTCCTGGGTTCAAGGAATTCTCCTGCCTCAGCCTCTCTACTAGCTGGGATTACAGGCATGCATCACCACACCTGGCTATTTTTTTTTTTTTTTTTTTTTTTTTGAGACGGAGTTTTGCTTTTATCACCAAGACGGGAGTGCAGTAGTGTGATCTAGGCTCACTGCAGTCTCCACCTCCTCGGTTTCAATGATTCTCCTGCCTCAGCCTCCCGAGTAGCTGGGATTACAGGTGCATGCCACCACACCTGGCTGATTTTTGTGTATTTGGTAGAGATAGGGATTCACCAGGTTGGTCTCAAACTCCTGACCTCAAGTGATCCACCCGCCTCAACCTCCCAAATCACCAGGATTATAGGAATGAGCCACCATATCTGCCAGGAACATTTCTTGATCAATATTTTTCCACCAGTTACCAGCTTTCATTATATAACTGTAGATCATGTTAAGTAAAGCTGCATTCTGAAAATTGTTACATTCATTTATCTCAGGATTGGTGGCTTCCTGATGAGATTTGGATCATCTCCTAGGTTCCTGAAAAAGAATCTAAAATACTTTTTTCTCTCAGCAGACATTTACAGTCTTTTCTTAAAGGTGTGATTGGTGTATTTGGGTAAGTTTTTATAGATGACAACTCCTGTTTATTGCATGTTGAATCTATTTAGTTCAATTTTTTTTTTAATTTTACTATTAGAGTCAGAATCTCACTCTCTCACCCAGGCTAGAATGCAGTGACAGGATCTCATCACACTACAGACTTGAACTCGTGGGCTCGAGCAATTCTCCCACCTCAGCCTCCTGAGAAGCTGTGAATACAGGAGTGTGCCCCATGCCCGGTTAATTTTTTTTTTTTTTTTTTTTTTCTTTAGAGACAGTGTCTCGCTATGTTGCCCAGACTGGTGATGTTAGTTCAGTTTTAGGTGGAATTCAGGGTATGTTCTTTTTTTCCAAGAAAGAGTTTTGCTCTGTTGTCCAGGCTGGAGTGCAGTGGCGTGATCTCGGCTCACTGCAACCTCCACCCATCATGTTCAAGCAATTCTCAGCATCCTGAGTAGCTGGGATTATAGGCACCCGTTACCATGCCTGGCTAATTTTTATATTTTTAGTAGAGATGAGGCTTCACCATGTTGGCCATGCTGGTTTCAAACTCCTCTCCTGAGGTGATTCACCTGCCTTGGGCTCCCAAAGTGCTAGAATTAAAGGCATAACTCATCATGTCCTGTCCAGGGCACATTACTTACAGTCTGTAAATCTACCTTGTGCTGAACAAAATAATGAATCAAAATAACTGGACCAGGCCCAGTGGCTTATGCCTCTGATGCTAGTGCTTTGGGAGGCTGTAGCAGGGGGATCAGTTGAAGCCAGTAGTAGTTCAAGACCAGCCTGGGCAACATGACAAGATCCCATCTCTACAGAAATTATATAAATTATCCAGGCATGGTTGCACGTGACTATAGTACCAGCTGCTTGGGAGCTTAAGATAGGAGGATGATTTGAGCCCAGGAGTTCAAGGCTGCAGTGAGCCATGATCGCACCACTGCACTCTAGTCTGAGCAGAGCCAAGACCCCATCTCAAAAATAGTGGGCCAGGTGCAGTGACTCACATCTGTAATCCCAGCACTTTAGGAGGCTGAGTGGGTGGATCATGAGGTCAAGAGATGGAGACCATCCTGGCCAACATGGTGAAACTGCATCTCTACTAGAAATAAAAAAAACATTAGCTGAGTGTGGTGGCACACGCCTGTAGGCCCAGCTACTCAGGAGGCTGAGGCAGGAGAATTGCTTAAACTGGGGAAGTGGAGGTTGCAGTGAGCCGAGATCACACCACTGTACTCCAGTCTGGCGACAGAGCAAGACTCCATCTCAAAAAAGAAAAAAACAAAAATAGTGACTGGATCTCTGGCTGTGGTCTGCACCATCATGGTAGGCATGGTCTCTCCTGCATCCTTCACTCTGTAGTATGTAGTGTCTTGGCCGGACACAGTGGCCATGCCTGTAATCCTTGAGCCCAGGAGTTAAAGACCAGCCTGGACAACATAGTGAGACCTTGTATCTGTTTTTTAAAAATCGAAAAATTTTTAAAAGAATCGTTTTGCAAATCAGTAAAATATGAATGTGGAGAAAATCTAGCCAGGCACAGTGGCTCATGCCTATAATCACAGCACTTTGGGAGGCCAAGGTGGGAGGATCACTTGAGCCCAGGAATTTAAGACTCAGCCTAGGCAACATCGTGAAAACCCCATCTCTACAAAAAACATACAAACTATCTGGGCATGGTAACACACACCTGTGGTCCCAGCTATTTGGGAGGCTGGGGTGGGAGAATTGCTTGAGCCTGGGAGGCAGAGGTTGCAGTGAGCCAAGATCACACCACTGCACTCCAGCCTGGGTGACAGAGTGAGACTATGCCTCAAAAAAAAAAAAAAATCCAAGTGGACAACAAGGGTATATTGTGCAACTCTTCTTTGTCCCCTAGTCCCCCTTCTCTCAACAAGGAGCTGCATTCCCAGTTTATTATATATTCTTTCAGAGGTAATAGCCAGATGTGGTGACTCACTTTGTGGGTATAATCCTAGCACTTTGGAAATAAGGCAGGCATATCATGAGGTCATGAGTTCAAGACCAGCTTGGCCAACATGGTGAAACCTCATCTCTAGTAAAAATAAAAGAAGTTAGCTGGGCATAGTGGTGGGCCCCTGTAATCCCAGCTACTAGGGAGGCTGAGGCAGGAGAATTGCTTGAACCCAGGAAGCTGAGGTTGCAGTGAGTCGAGATGGCACCAAGTGACAGAGTTAGAGTCCGTCTCAAAAAAAAAAACACTCAGGTAATGTATGCATTTGCAAATGTATTTGACAATGAATGATAGCATACTATAAAAATATTCATGTGGCCAGGGGCAGTGGCTCACACCTGTAATCCCAACACTTTGGGAGGCCAAGGTGGGCAGATCACTTGAGGTCAGGAGTTCAAGACCAGCCTGATCAAGATGGTGAAACCCCATCTGTACTAAAAATATATATATATGTGTGTGTGTGTATATATATATATATATATATGAATATATATGTGTATGTGTATATATATATGAATATATATGTGTATGTGTATATATATATATATGAATATGTGTGTGTGTGTGTGTGTGTGTGTGTGTGTGTATATATATATATATATATATATATATATATATATAAATTAGCTTGAACTGGTAGTGCGTGCCTGTAGTCCTAGCTGCTCAGGAGGTTGAGGCAGGAGAAATTGGTTGAACCTGGGAGGCGGAGGTTCCAGTGAGTCAGGATAATGCCTCTGCACTCCAGCCTGGGTGACAGAGCAAGACTCTCTCTTAAAAAAAAAAAAAAGGCAGCAGTATATGAGAGCACCTGCCCACATCCCCAGCAGACAGCCTGGTGAAAATTGATGTTTTCAAACAATTCAGGTGTCCCTGAAATACATGAAAGACTTTGCAACTGCACTCAGAGAAATCCAAGTTCAAACTAAACTAAGATACCCTTTTTCCCTTCTCATAGGGGCAAGACTTGCCCATATGCCTTTGCCTTTTTTCATTCAGTCCTTCCTGTATTCTATTTTTAAGACATAAATCTGTGTTACTTCACTGTTCAAAACCTCCCAGTAGATTTACATCAAACTTAAAGTCCCAAGTCCTTTCCAAAGCTTACAAGGGCCTGCCTAGTTTGGCCCCTGGTTGTACCTGATACTTCATCTCTTACTCCTCTGACTGTTCACACTACTGCAGCCATTCAAGCATCTGTATTTTCCTTAAATATGTCACGCTTGCTCTCACTCAGGGCCTTGGAACTTGCTGTTCTCCTGGCAGCTAATATTTGCACTGTGTGCCCGCGACTGTGTTAGGGCCTCTCCTACGCCACCTTCCCAGAGAAGCTTCTCTAATGAACCTACCTAAAGTAACAGCATGGCTCCTCCCCAAAGCACTCTTCATCCCCTTACCCTGCTTAATTTTTCTTCATAGCTCTTATCATTACCTGAATGTTATCTGGTTATTGCCTGTCTCTCACTCCTCAAATATGGGCTCTCTGTGGCCTAAACTCTCTTACGTCCACTGATATATTCTGGGTACCTAGGTGGGACATGGTGCCTTTGAGCACTCGAGACATATTGATTGAAAAAATGAATGAATAAGCCTCTGCCCATATTCTTTGCCTATTTTTCAACAGGCTGTGTGGTTCTGTTTACCCATTTTGATTTGTAGGAGCTTTTTAAATATTAAGAACATATATAAAGATCTAGATCTTTATAGAGATACAGACTAAGAACCTATAAATACTAATTTAGGAAATTAATATTTTTATTACATTCTTCCTGCCTGAGGGCATGGTATGCTTCTATGTCTGTTTTCATCTTCATTTGTAGCTCTCAGTAATATTCAGAATTGATCCCCATATAGTTTGTGTGCATCTCTTGTTAGGCTTATTTTTCCTTTTGTGTTACTATTATAAGTAAGATGTTTTAGGCCAGGTGTGGCAGCTCATACCTTAACCTCAGCACTTTGGGAGGCCAAGGTGGGCAGATCACCTGAGGTCCGAACTTTGAGACTAGCCTGGCCAACATGGTGAAAC